TGAATTAGATTTTGGGTTAGATTAACCTAGGGTTAAGCTAACCCAGCTTTGAACAACCGGCCCCTGGTTAAAAATTTCCTGGTTAAACCAGAAATAACCCTACTTGGGTTAACTAAATATTTCTGTTTAAACTTCATGGTTATTTTATCTCACGTCCTACCAGTGTAACCAGAAATCTGGTTATATTTGACCAGGACGTCCTTGTTAAAATAACCAGACTATTCTTTGCTTGCACATGACGTCACTACGTGCCATTAGGCGCCATCTTGGTTGATTTTAAAGTTTTGTCCAGCCGTTTACATCGAAATAGTCGAGTTACTTTAATATTTTTGGTTTGTTTTGAAAACATCTTACTGTATTATGGATAGTTTACGATTTCTGGCACAATACGACAAAGAATGAAGAATATAGATTTTTAGTTGCCACGAAAGTCAACCAAGATCGCGTCGATTGCAAACGTCCAATATAGGGCACCTAATTTAACCAGGATGACCTGGTCAAATATAACCAGATTCCTGGTTACATTAACCAGACTATCGTAGGACGTGAGATAATCATAAAAATAACCAGGAAATTGAACCAGGAATATTAAGCCAAAATAGGGCTATTTCTAGGTTAAGCAGGACATTTCAACCATGGTGTTTTTACAATGTAAAAGTTGTACGCATTCGATCCAGTGCCTTGATCTTTCCTTGATTTTATACCAGTCGATATTCATTTGAAATGCTTATACAGCATACGATCACCAGTAATGTACAATGTAGTTAATATACCTACCTGAATACTACCAATGCAACAATTTGTCCAGTCACTTGTGGATTTGGTTTCATATCATACGTCTAAGAGAAACATATTTTTAAATCAGAAATAATTTTATATTATATACGTTCAGGAGAAACAAGTATCAGATGTCGTTCACAGTTTGTAAGAAGTTATAATTGCAACTATATATACATCTAAACTTACTAGTCTGATATTTTTATCTTCGGCTAGCAACTTGTACTTTGTCGTTTCCTGGAAAAGAGAAATGGTGTTGAAGAATATACCTGTCACGTTTTAGGGGAGTTACTATCTTTAGACTTTTGTAATTTTGTATTCTTTCGTATTTTAAATTTGACCCTAATCCTAAACCTTACTCTAATCCTCACTGGAAAAAAAAGTGAAATCCATACTACGAAATTTCAATTGCACCACTAAATCCATAGTATATCCATACTATTCCCATACTATATCCTTAGTATATGGAAATATACAATTATTATGAATAACCAAAATCCATTCGATTTCCAATAAAGATCCATACAATTTCCATTCTATGACCTTCTATGGATTTTCAAAATTTTTTCCAGTGCCTAACCCTAATCCCCGAGCCGACGGCGCGAAGCGCCGTGCGAGGGTACTACTCGGCTATTTACACCCGGGGAAACGAAAGCATTAGCGAAGTCTAAGGTTCATCAATTATCGCGGGCGTGGGTGACCAACGATGTTGGGGTGGGTGGTCATCCTCACTGATCTCAAAAATATGGCGGACTGTCATGAATAGCGAACACTGATTGGTCCAATTTAAAGTTAGCATTATAACGACAGCGAAATAGCAAACATTTATTGATTTGATGATTGATAAATTTCTTGCAAATATATTTCATTTTTGCTCGCATTTTTGCAAGATTTTGTAAATTTCAGAAGATTTCTCAGAAAGGAAGGGGCGAAAGCATCGGCTAAAAGAAGGGAGCCGACGTTAACCATAGTTGCTGCATGCATGTATTTTCTACTCTTAATTACGTTGTTCATTCGTTTGAGGGGCTATACAGTAATTCGTGTGCTTAGCCTATTGAATGTAGACGCAGTTCACTCAAAAGCGCATGCAGCCCCAAACCTCTTAAATCATTTGGAATTATCTATAATATAACGGTGATGGGCATTAAGGCCGTTTTGCACTGGGCCAATTTGTTCGCGCGAAACGACTTTTCCCTTTTGTCGGCATCGATTCAATTTGCTGACGCGATAAGCGCACTATAAAATAGATCGCTGACCAAGTGCTCAAATTACATTGTCGAATTTTCTTGGTTGACCATAGACTTGCTCCAAGTCTCTCTTTGTGGACATCTATATATTGTACATCTATATTGTACGTTACATGACGTACCGCTGAGGGGGAGAAAGGGAAGACAGACTGGTAACATCTGGCAGCAGACATACTTCCGGCTGGTCAATTTCGACCAGCCGGAAGTAGATGGCCGCATTGACTTATCACGTGTTTAAGGGGGGGAAGGCGACATTTGGACTTTCAGAGTTATTTGTTAAACATAAGTAATTTTGTATTCACGAGATTTCTTGTAGATTTCACATCACTTTTGACTGCGTGCATTTGGAATTTTGGGCATTATTTTTGCAATTTATTGTAAACAACGATTATAAGAAGAACGGATAAATTACAAATCAGCCGTAATCGTCATAAACCTCGATGACCACCAGTGTTTTTTCAGGTTTGACAATTTGTATTTCATTAGATATTTATATGCAAGGTCAGTATAAACGGGTTATCATATAAAATGATCATTCTAATGAATTGATAAAACGAATTATTTCTAATATGTACGGCCGCGTTTTTTACACGGCCACTACTGAAACGTTTAGCTTGATTGTTGAATAAATCGATGACTTGCTTAGTTGCTTTCTGTTTTGAGCTTAACCACCGTTTAAGCTAAACGGGCTTGATACTACTGGGCCCAGACTCGGCCCCAGATAAACATTTTTGTATTATCGAGATCGAAACTATAGTAACAAAATAAACATTTGTAAAAATTTTGGGCGTGACAATTTTCTAATGTTCATAAGTTCATTGTCCGTTTTTTATTATTGACACGGTTTCCAATTTACTATAGTTTCGATCTGCGGCCGTACATATTAGAAATAATTCGTTTTATCAATTCATTCATTAGAATGATCATTTTATATTATAACCCGTTTTATATACTATTGACCTTGCATATAAATATCTAATGAAACACAAATTGTCAAACACAAAAACACTGGTGGTCATCGAGGTTTATGACGATTATGGCTGATTTGTAATTTATCCGTTCTTCTTATAATCGTTGTTTACAATAAATTGCAAAAATAATGCCCAAAATTCCAAATGCACGCAGTCAAAAGTGATGTGAAATCTACAAGAAATCTCGTGAATACAAAATTACTTATGTTAAACAAATAACTCTGAAAGTCCTGATGTCGCCTTCCCCCCTAAACACGTGATAAGTCAATGCGGCCATCTACTTCCGGCTGGTCGAAATTGACCAGCCGGAAGTATGTCTGCTACCAGATGTTACAAGTCTCTCTTTCCTCCTCTCCCCCTCAGCGGTACGTCATGTAACGTACAATATAGATGTACAATATATAGATGTCCACAAAGAGAGACTTGGAGCAAGTCTAGGTTGACCAATGCAGACAAGCAAAGTGGGCCATATGCATCTTTGAGCGAAATGCGTATACAACAGCAGTCTTGTTTTCTCTATATCTGAAACAATTGAAACAAAACATGTTTGGACATTGCTCTATATTTTAAGCCGGTTACAGACCAGGAAGTTCTCTATTATAAATGTTCATATTTGTTTCATTTGCTCGTTAAGCAAACTTTGTTAATTTTTTCTATGACAAGTGCACTTGTCTGTCTGTCCTAAGCAATTCCAAAAAATAATTACAAAACATGCAGAGTAAATATTTCGCCAAACATGCACGTCTGCATGCGATTTTCCATTCAAACTTCTCCAAGCGTTTTCTTTGAGCTGGAGAGCGTGCTTCGTACAAGTGATGATATAAAATATACTTGCTTCCTTTTTACAAAAAAATTGATCTATTGAAGTATTTCTTCGTTTAAAACAAAGACGTAGATATTTATCGCAGCTGCTCCTGGATATAGGTCTAAAATTGTATATTATAATCGTCCGCCAGAAATTTCCATCTACCAAAACCCTTCAACATATCAGTCATATAATCGTCTCGTCATAACTATTGTATTTATTTTCCTTTTCTAATGGCAGATGTTAGTAGCTTTATGTATATGCAGTATATATAACAGTCGATATATATCAGCAGACGACATTGCTCTCTATACAGAGCAGCAAGTTCTCTATTATAAGACATTTCATATACATGTGTTATTTGCTCGTTTGCATAAGCACACTTTCCCAAGTTTTTCTATGACAAGTGCACTTGTTAGTCCGTCACTCTGTCTGTAGTACGCGATCCCAAAAAATGACTACAAAACATGCATGCAGTATAAATATTTCGCCAAACACGCGTGCGATTTTCATTTACTTCTCGAACCGTGTAATTTCCTATAGTAATCATTGCTCATCCAACTTACGCCTGCTGAATAACTTATCTTCTCTTTCTCGCAACTTCTCTTTGAGGTGGAGAGCGTGCTTCGTGCAAGTGGCGTCGCACTCGATAGAACAGTTGAAGGGTTTTGGCAGATGGAAATTTCGAGTGTAAATTTTATACATTTATTAAACCTAACCAGAACAGCTGCGGAAAATAAAACTATAGGTCGCTGGCAGGAGGAAAAATGGAACTACATGTCCTCTGGCAGGAGGAAAAATGGAACTATAGGCCCTATCTGGCAGGAGGAAAAATGGAACTATAGGCCCTATCTGGCAGGAAGAAAAATGGAACTATAGGCCCTATCTGGCAGGAGGAAAAATGGAACTATAGGCCCTATCTGGCAGGAAGAAAAATGGAACTATAGGCCCTATCTGACAGGAGGAAAAATGGAACTATAGGCCCTCTGGCAGGAAGAAAAATGGAATTATAGACCCTATCTGGCAGGAGGAAAAATGAAAATATATAAAGCTCTGGCAGGAGGAAAAATGGAATTATAGGCCCTATCTGGCAGGAGGAAAAATGGAAATATATAAAGCTCTGGCAGGAAGAAAATTGGAACTATAGGCCCTATCCGGCAGGAGGAAAAATGGAACTATAGGCCCTATCTGGCAGGAGGAAAAATGGAATTATAGGTCCTATCTGGCAGGAGGAAAAATGGAATTATAGGCCTTATCTGGCAGGAGGAAAAATGGAACTATAGGCTCTCTGGTAGGAGGGAAAATGGAACTATAAGCTCTCTGGCAGGAGGAAAAATGGAATTGTAAGCTCTCTGGCAGGAGGAAAATGGAACTATAAGCTCTCTGGCAGGAGGAAAAATGGAATTGTAAGCTCTCTGGCAGGAGGAAAATGGAACTAAAAGCTCTCTGGCAGGAGGAAAAATGGAATTATAGGCCCTATCTGGCAGGAGGAAAAATGGAAATATATAAAGCTCTCTGGTAGGAGGGAAAATGGAATTATAGGCTCTATCTGGCAGGAGGAAAAATGGAACTATAAGCTCTCTGGCAGGAGGAAAAATGGAATTATAGGCCCTATCTGGCAGGAGAAAAATGGAACTATAGGCTCTCCGGCAGAAGGAAAAATGGAACTATAAGCACTCTGGCTGGAGGAAAAATGGAACTATAAGCCCTCTGGCTGGAGGAAAAATGCGACCATGATAGGGCCTATATATAGTTGCATTTTTCGCAGCTGCTCCCTTCAACATATCAATCATTATCGTCTCGTCTTTTCTGATGGCCGATGCTAGTAGCTTTACGTATATGCAGTATTATACAACAGTCGATATATATCACCAGCTACATTTTGTTGGTACCAAGTGCAAACCAGTTAAAGTCAAAATGAGCGCATTGAACTTCAACAAATTCCTTTTGTGTACTGTGAACGTTTTGTTCGCATTTGCTGGGATAATTTTAAACAGCGTCGTAATCATCAGTTTCCTGAAGTCACAATTACGAAGAAAATTATGTTACTTTATGATTCTGATTTTGGCTTGCTTTGACCTGGCCGTTGCTACAGTTCTTCATCTGGTAGTGGTATTAGAGTCGCTTGACCCGTCTAAGAAAATTTCTATTATCGGGGGACAGTTGCTAATACTCTCGTTGGCTGCTATGTTAACAATGACAGTGGAAAGATATGT